ACTTTATGTCAGTGGTCTTCCTTTTACTGATGCGAACTGCTTTGTATATCAGATAACTGAAAAGCAGTAGAAAATTATAGTTAGTACAGTAATTTAAATGAATAATAGAGGAGGGAAATTGTAAGTATGGTCCAAAGATGTGCAGATATGAAATTTGCCAGCAAGATAGATTTGTTTTATCTGCGGCAATCTGGTGCCTTCAGATGTTTGGGGACTGCAATTTCAATCAACACCAGATAGTTTAAAATAGGTCTCCTTTTAGGGATGACGAGTTTTAGAAGAGTCCTTATTTCCAAGCTAATCTGATCACAGTAGATGTTATGGGAATCTTACAGGATTGTGCAGCTATTCAGATCTAAAATAGAAAAAAATGCTTTGGAAGTGATGTCATTATGGCTTGCTACACATTTTCCTGATATCAGGAAAGAATGTGTTTGAGTTAAAGAAATGTTAAGGAGGTGGTGGCAAAGACATGTGCCTTTTTAACACTTCTTTAATGGAAACATTTTCCTGGGATGATGCAGCTATCAGACAAAATCAAAGGAAGACATAGACTCTTTAAAGAGGTGCCAGCAGGTGCAGTAACTATATTCATCTTATTGGTCAAACGCCATCTAACACGTCTGCCAATTTTCTATATTTGCTACTGCATTCAGGCAGCTGAGAAAATGTAAGGATACTGTTCTGTCCCCCGTCCACACACAGACAAATGCAGTATCAAACACCCCTGCCAATAATTTATTGTATAAACAGACCAGAATTCCTGGCAGATGAGAGTTCTGGCAGCTAACTGTAAAACGCCTGCCAAGTCCAATTAGTATTCCCAAAAAGCAGGAGGCCTTATCTGCAGTCCGTTTCCAGAGCGACAAATTATCCACAAGAATTTAGTCCAAAATATATCTGAGCCAAAGTGCAGGATTCACGATGTGACTCTTTAGAGTTTAAACTTTTGTCCGTCACAAAGCCTGCCGAGCAATCACGCTCCCTTTTATCCCTTGTGGGGCGTGGCTCAGTGACTCAACTCAATCCCACGCCTCTTCCTTTGCTGTGCACGCTTCTCCCTCCGACGCTGCCTGGGATCAAGCCAGGATTCATCATTATCACTCTCTATCAATGGGTGCTCCAAAATGCCTTCCTCCTGGCCCATCCCAGCTGTTCCTCCTAGTCTTCGGATGGAACCTGAGGCATTGCCAGAGAGGAGGGTCCTGGAGAGGGAGGCCTTGTCAGTTCCTCCCCCTCACCTTCTGAGTCCTCTTCCTCCATGAGGACAGGCTCGGGAGTTGGAGTCACAACAGATACACTCAGGATACCGTGCACCATTGATCAACAAACTAGCCAGGATGATAGTTATCGCTCTAGAATAACTTATATTTTTTTATCCTGAGAATTCCAACATCCATGCTGATGTTGCCTGAGAAATGGTTAGGATTTCATGGACCTGTTTAGTATCTGAATCTGCATATCCAGCAGGATGCACAGTGGATTTATGTTTGGCTATTCTGTTTGGCTAATGATCTGCTAGAGCAGGGGTGTCAAATGTAAGGCCCACGGGCCGGATCCAGCCCATGCGGTGCTTAGATCTGGCCCACAAGCCACCCTGGAAACAGCAAAGGACCAGCCCACGGTGCCTCTGCATCTGTGTGTGGCCCTCCCGATCTCCGTTTTTGCTGGCAGAGGGTTGCAGGAGGCCGTCCCAGCTGAAAACGAGATTGGGAGCCCGTTTTTGCTGGCAGAGCACTTGGGCCACCACAGGTGCCCCTGACACAAGTGATGTCAAGGTGGCCACAACCACCTCAGCACCCAAGGTCAAACACAACCCTGATTCAGCCTTCAATGAAATCGAGTTTGACACCCCTGTGCTAGAGGATCATTCTGTAACTCCAGATTAATGGGCAGATTATTCTCTGAACATATTTAGAATAGCAACTGCTATAAACCTTTGTTTAAAAATTCAAACAAATCTGTATATATATATTTTTGGGGGGATGAAGTTGGAGAATATCCCATCTAATCGGTCTTTATTATTATCAAAATCCTGATCTGTAGAATATAGTAACGGCCTAAATAGTTGGTACTATAGCATCTAAATGCCCTCCTCTCTTCAGCAGAAGTCAGTTGACAAGTTGATTATCAGAGAACTGAGAACATTTAAGCAAACAAAAGAACAAACAGAGGAAATATAATGAGCAATCAGGCTGAACCATAGGGGTATTTTTAGGCCCATTTATCACTTAATTTTTAGACTGCTGCACTCTTAAGATACTTGAACTAATATCTGCAGCAGCAATTGCCATAAGGACATGCCTCTCTCCCTCCATTATGTCTGTGCAGAACAGTCTTCTGCTGTAGAAAAAAAATGCTGCAACTCCATCAGGATTTTGTGAGTGCCAAATTCAGAATTCAGCTCAGGAATTTTCGCTTTGCTTTGTTTCTGCAAATAAAACTGATCAGATTTGCTTCAGTTTGGACTCTGCTCTTGAGACAAGTCATGCTCATATTCTTTTCATCTGAGGATAAGGAGAGGATGTGTGGCAATGAAAGCTACCACTTACTTGTTCATTCCTTATTCTTCAGAGCAGAATAAAACAGCCACTTTCCAACAGACTTCATAATTAAGGCAGGTGATCAATTCTTTCCCGAGTGTGGAATGTGACCTGCATACTAAATGTAGCCAGAAGTAGTTATTTAAAAAGACCTCCTTTCCTGAAAAATCTTCATAATTAAAGGTTACTTAAATATTCTACTCTTGAATAAGGTATTGATAAAGTGATAGCATCACAATTCCAGATGCATCATATTCATTTCAGTAGCGTTCCTTCCAAGATAAAATATTAAGACACCTCTGTCATCTGGAAACATGATCTATTCTAGAGATCATAGCCGGAGGAAAGTGTACCTTCTATTGGACCTCTTGGCTGCTTTCTATCTTCTGGGCTTTCTAATGGGTTGGGCCTTGGGGACATGGTTTTGGAGGGACACCAAACTTTATTTCAGAATGTGTCCAGAAGGTGGTGCTGGAAGAATATTGTTTGACCACTAGATATTGACCTATGGAATGCTACATGGTTCTTTCAGGTCTCCTATGATGTTTAATATCTAAGTGTATCCATTTTGGAGAAATGGTATCAGGATGCCAATGACAATTCTATCCTTCTACCTACTTTTTAACTCCAAAAGACAATCAGTACCCTTGAATGCTGTCTCAATGATGGGCTGCCAAAATAAAATGCAAAGAACAACGAGGTGCTAAACTTGGGATCAAAGTGAAGCTTGTTCTGGGTGGGAATGCATCTCCCCATAAAAATCAGGCTCACAGTTTGGGATTGCTCTTTGATCTCCAGCTGACTCTGGATTTGCAAGTGCCAGCTTTGCCAAGGAACACATTTGCACAATTATAGTCAGTGCATCAAGTGCAATACTCCCTGAGCTGCTTTGACACAACACTGATCAATGTCTCAGTTACAACCCATCTTGATTAATGCGAAGCTCCTTTTGTAGGTTACCCTTTAAAGTGATTGGAAATTACAACTGAAATACAACCCGAGCATCAAGTCTGAGCAGAATCCATAATGTGGATTCTGTGGTCAAGCTACTATAATATGGATCCTGTGGTGCATGATCTGGACTAATGCCCATTACTTATAGGGCACAATTTAAGGTCTTCGTATGGACCTTTAAAGCTCTAAGTAGCTTAGGACCTCATTAGTTTATGTCCTGCTTACAGAAATCTGCTGGAATTCTTCTGAAGATGCCTTCTCCCCCTGCCTGAACCTTTGCTGTAGACCTGTGGGAAAGAATCTCCTGCCGCTCTGAACTTATGGAATGTACTCCCTATTGAGCTAGCTTGACTCCTACACTCAAAACTTTTAGGAAGATAGCCCAAAGCACCTCTTCAGCAAGCTTTTCATTGTTAATTGTTTTAACGAGTGGATTGTGTTATATTTATTTACACTTCTAGTTTTTACATCATGGTAAGACATCCAGAGAGTCAGTTTGGTGTAGTAGTGGTTAAAAGCATCAGACTAGAAACTTGGACACCCTGAGTTATTTTTACAGCCAGATGACTTTTCGCCACTCACATTTTCTCAGCCCTAGGAAGCAGGCAATGTCAAATCACTTCCGAAATCTTGATCTTGACAGGAAAACCGCAGAGACTAATTCAGCCTAACCCTAATCAGGAGTCAGAAACTGACAGGAAAGAAATGCGGTGGGGGGATCATCTGAAGTGTTGGGATGTACATGAAATAAAATGTGATTGTTACCCATTATTTGCTTCCTATTATATTTTAGCTTAACAGGGATGCAGTGGCTCAGTGGCCAAGACGCTGATCTTGTCGATCAAAAGGTTGGCAGTTCAGCGGTTCGAATCCTACTTGTCCCACCTTCTGCCAACCTAGCAGTTCGAAAGCACGTAAAAAAAATGCAAGTAGAAAAATAGGGATCACTTTTGGTGGGAAGGTAACAGCGCTCCGTGCGTTTAGTCATGCCGGCCACATGACCACCGCCCCCTAGAGTCGGGAACGACTAGCACATATGTGCGAGGGGAACCTTTACCTTTTATATTTTACCTTACTTCACGCTCCTCCATCAAGTGTAACGGGGCTGATCCCCTCCCCCTCCCCAAAGAAACAGATCCCGACACGGGCAATTGAAATCTTCATCAAAGGTGACCTTCCTTCGGGACATCCACCAGTAAACACGATCCGCGGCCCCCGCGCTTTTGCTCCCCTATTCCGCTGGTTTCCAAGAAAGCCGTCTGAAACGGCCGCTCTCTCTTCCCCAGCGCTGGGATCGGCCAAAGGGTCTCCGCCGCGTTTCTCCCACGCTACCCCGAAGGGCGAGCCGAGACGCGCACGCCTGCGCCCCAGACTCTTCCCGGCAGCGGGCGGCCTGACCGCCTCAGAGCTGGAGGGGAAGGGAGGGGAGCGCCAGGCAGGGACGCGCGGGAGGGGGGGGAGGGCAGTGGGGGCGGGAGAGACTCCCTCCTGCCGCTTGCCTCGTTGCCGACCTCTTCTCTTCGCCTCCTGTGAGGACTCGGATTAGCTGCAGCCGGGGCGCCCCCGGAGGCCCCAGCTGGCGTTCAGTTCCCGGCGCGTTGGGCTGAGTTGAGGGCGCCTCCCTTCCCCTCTTGCATCTCTTCCCAACCTGCCGTTGCCGCCGGTGGTCGAGAGACCCAGGGCTGTTCTCCCTCTCCCTCTTCTTTTCTTTCTTTTTTCTTTTTCCCCCCTCTGTCTGTGTCTGTCTGTCTTCCCTTCTCGACATGGAATTCTCCTTGAGGGTCCTCGTTTTATCCTGGCTTTACCTGGAGACTTTAGGGGACTTCGACGGAAGGTGAGTCGGTCGGTTTCCTGGAAGGAAAAGGTTGTGGGTAGGTGGGTGGGTGGGGTGGAAACGAAAGAAAGGACGGCAACCCGAAGCCCACGCTTCTTTTCCGAGCTGAGGGAGAAGGAGAAATTGTCCAATTTGCTAAGGGAAGGAAACAGTTCACAACCTTTGAGGCGGCTCTTCTGTTTTTTCCCCCACTAACATCTAAGAGTGGCTGAGGCGGTTGCAGAAAACCTGTTGGTGGTGGAATCAGACTTGCACTCCGTTTTCTGTGCACGGGGATCAGATACACGCTCCGTTCAAAATCGAGCACTTTGCACAAAACACAACGGTAAAAAGTTTTCCCTTACTCGAGGAAGCAGAGCTGGGACGTATCAGTAGCCGAGGCACCTGCAGTTAGAAGTTTACAAGACCATAATAATAACCCTAAATAGATAAAGGAAACGGGGTTTTATTTTTGTGCTCCTTTCTTTTGTAATAAAAAAGCATAGCCTTTAGGTGCAGGAAGCAGTTCATATGCCTAAAAGACTTGTGACATAATGATTGGCAGGTACTTCCATATAGTAGTCCATACACCTCTTTAAAGTTCTAGGAAGACTCCAGTTTGTTATTTAGCATTTTTGGTTTGGTTTCGTTTTCCACTATTTTAAGGCTATCCCCCTCTGGAAATCATAAACCTTGAATTGTCACAAGGATTCCAGCAATCCTTTGAAGTTGGTCAGTTTCAAATTCCTAACACAGGGGAAAAGCCACTTTGTGAATGGGAAACTAATTCAGCGCCAGGTTTTCTGGTTTCTAGCTTGGTCTCTAAACTGCTGCACTGCACTGATTCTCATTGAGGAGGAAACCATCTGAAACTAGGAAGGCTTACAGCTGGCACCTTGGCATTTATTTGAAAGTCATTTCATTCCTTCCAATGGAACTTCTCTCTAATTAAATGTGAACAGCCCTGAGTCCTAATCTGAACTGATTTTTTTCTTGACACAGGTAACTGTAATAGTCCTAAACAGATCATTGGACAGTTGGATTATTTTAAATGTCTAAACTGACTGATAGGAACTCTCTGTTATTAGGTGAAGATGTCAGGGCTTAAGTCTACAATCTTCTGTAAATAACCCATCAAGCTTAGTCTCTTACTTTAAACATCCTTGCTAGTAACAGAAACCAACAGTACAGTAGATTTTTGATAGGGTTGGGAGCTTTGCACATTAGCGTAGATGGAAAGAATTCTGATCTGCATTTGAATGTGCAGGAAGAATACTAGCAAGGAAAATTGTTCTACTTTAATTGGTAGGCTACTGAGAGCTGTGTTACTACATCTGTAGGGATGGTAAATATAACATATGATTATATTCTAGGTATATTAATCATATTCTGTTGCTTGTACTTTGTGAAAATAACATGTTCACAAAAGGTAAACATGGAAGAAAGAGCTTTAAAACAAAATTCTTTAATTGCTGAAGTAGTGATTTCCCCGCTGTTCATGTATAATTATATGGATTGTCATACCAAGTAACTGCAGACTCCAGAACTCTTATGTTTAAGCATCCGTGTAACTTCAGTGTTTGGGGGGGTGACATGAGATAAGAATGGCTATCTCCTGTCAGATAAATTATGCAGTTGACAGTAAACCAAGGACTATTTATAATCTTGTAAAACTTTTAATTTCTTTTTATATCTGTTATGTTTTCTAGGAATGCTTAGATATCTCTAAACACATATGTAAAATAAACATTAATCAGACAAGCTGTAACATTAAGGGCACAATTATATTCCACCGTTCAATACAAATATTTCAGTTGTGTAAAGATGCATGATAGGCAAGCCTTGACAGGTTTAGGCAGTCCAGGTTTCTTTTGAAATACATTGCTTAGTTGCGGCAACCCTTCTGTAACTGATAGACCTATTAGATATATTATCTTTCTGCAATTGTTGAATAGATCATAAGTACAGTACTTTGACCTCATTTATCAAGTCATTTTCATTGGAGCACCGAATAATAGATACAGAGCTGTTTTTTAACTAGGTATCGCAATGCAAACAGTCAGGAGGAACAACTCTAAATGGGATCCTGCACATGGGAAGTGTTTATTTCTCCCTGTGATTTGAAGCCATGAAAAGAATGCACACCTGCTCTGTTTATTGACTGGAACTGATATAAGTCTCCAGACTTACTTGGTTTTTGTAATTCATGGAGACATTTAGGAATGGTGAGGAATAACAGACCTTATGGCTATACCGGTAGGCATATCTCATTGTAAAAAGCAAATCCTTCTTTAATATTATACTAGCTCTTTGGTCTCTGGGTATGGAGTGCACGTGCATCCCCACTTGCGTGAGCCAGAGGGCAAGTACATGCACGCACACTCCATTTGCATGAGTAGCAAGCACGCTCCATTCGCGTGAGCAGTGTGTGTGTATGCCCACCGTTGGTGCAAATGGACCCATGCGTGTGTGTGCGCTTGCTCGCCACTTGTTCGGAACTCTCCCCTTCCCAGCTGGTCCCCAAAACCGGAAAGGTTGGGGAATTCTGCTCTAAACTATGCTAAAGAAATGGGCCTTTCTTTGATCTGTCTGTCTAAGCCAGGGATATCAAACATGTGGCATCACATTGTCGTCACATGATGTATCGCAACTTTTTCCCCCTTCGCTAAACTGGGGGTGGACGTGGCCAGTGCATGACACATCTGGCCCACGGGCCACAAGTTTTTCACCCCTGGTCTAAGCCAGGGTTCACCAACCTTTCAAACCTCAGGGACCACTAAATTCATAATCCCGTGGACCACTAATATGATCTGCCTAATGACCAGCTGGGTGGGCATGGCAAGGTGGTCATGTAACTGGGTGTCACTCACATTGAGGGATGCCTTGCCAGCCTCTACTTACTCCTCACCTGCCCACCCAGGCTCCTTAGGGCCCCAACAGGAAGCTAAACAGCTACCATGAGAAAGAGTTCAGTTCAAATTGGATATGATCGAGAAGGAGGCTCAGCAGAAGCGCCTCACTGAGGACTACAAGCATAGGCTTTCCAAGCAGAGGGAAGACCTGCAGGAGTGCAAGGCCAGGTACCGGCACCTGGAGGCTCAGTGGGCTGAGATGGTCAGCCAGTTTCAGGACATGATGCAGTCCCACTTGAACAAGCCCTCCGGCTCTTCACCACCAGCGGCGCTTCCCCCCAGCCTTCGCCCAAAGCCCCGCACCAGGAGGCTGAAGCAGATCCCAAGTCAGAATTTCTGCCCCCCCCCTCTGACCTGCACAAAAAGACCCCAAAGGGGGAGACTCTCTGCAGCAACACAAACGTTCATTGCACGTATCCGGCCCAGGGGCCATAGTTTGAGGACCCCTGATTTAGTGCAATATAAAAAATGCAAATAATTTTTCTGGGGACCACCAAAATTTTCTCGCGGACCACCAGTGGTCCATGGACCATCAGTTGGTGACCACTGGTCTAAACTATTATATTTCCTCAAGGAGAATTCAGATGGATTCAGTTAAAGATGAATTTAGTCTATTTTGGAAATCTCCCACAGATACATAATCCTTTACAGGTAGTCCTCAACTTACAACAGTTCGTTTAATGACTGTTTGAAGTTAAAACATCAGTGAAAAATGTGGTTTATCTCCGTTTTTCACACTTACAACCATTGTAGCCTCTCCATGGTCATGTGATCAAAATCCAGACGCTTGGTAACTGGCTGATATTTATGATGGTGTCAATGTCCCAGGGTCATGTGATCCCTTTTTGTGATCTTCTGATAACCAAAGTCAATAGGGAAGCCAAATTTACTTAAAAACAGTGTTACTAACTTAACAACTGCAGTAATTCATTTAATAAATGTAGAAAGAGGTCATAAAATGAGGCAAAATTCACTTAGTAATAGAAAGTTTGGGCTCAATTGTGGTTGTAAGTTGAGGACGACCTGTAATGGACTTAGTCATTTTTTTAATCTTACATTTTTGGCAGATTTGCTGATATACACGCACTGCTTGTGTGTTTTACTAAGAAAGGTGAGCTTTTGTCTATTCAAATGAACATTCACTTTTCAATATACCTTTCATTATCTAGATCCCTTATGTCTCTCTATAGCTTAGTTTGATACCTCTGATTTTGCTTTGAGTGCTGTGCTTTTATAATCTGATTAAAAGTTTAATGAGAGCTTGCTGTACATTTTTCTTCCCAAATCTTTTTCTGCCAAGCAAACTGAAGTTTCTTTTAAAAGAAAGCCTTTGGCTCCCAGAGATAGTTTCCAACACTGGAATTGCTATCATATCTGAAGGCACAACACATTTGAGTTTTGTCTTCAGGATCTGGCCTTCTAAGGAGCAGTCAGGGTTGATCTCCTCTAGGACTGACCGGTTTGATCACCTTGCAGTCCAAGGGACTCGCAGGAGTCTTCTCCAGCACCATAGTTCAAAGGCCTCAATTTTTTAGCACTTAGGGTTTCTTATGGTCCAACTCAGTGGTGAAATTCAATTTTTTTTACTACCGGTTCTGTGGGCGTGGCTTTGTGGGCGTGGTGTGGCTTGGTGGGCATGGCAAGGGAAGGATACTGCAAAATCCCCATTCCCTCCCCACTCCTGAGGGAAGGATATTGCAAAATCTCCATTCCCACCCCACTCTGGGGCCAGCCAGAAATGGTATTTGCCAGTTTTCTGAACTACTCAAAATTTCCGCTACCGGTTCTCCAGAACCTGCTGGATTTCACCCCTGGTCCAACTTTCACATCCATACATTGCAACTGGGAAAACCATAGTCTTGACTATACGCACTTTTGTTGGCAGGGTGATGTCTCTGCTTTCCCATTCTATATGTACCTTGCAAAACAAGTGGTCTGATCTTCTGCCACATAATTACTTATTAACCCCAAAGCCCTCTTACCATATCCATTCGGCTCCTAAAAATGTAATTCTCCTCCTTCTATCTAGAATCTTCCCTGCCCTATGTGAGACTTGGAGGATGATGGAAGATGCCTTCCCTAACTGACCTCATGCATAATTGCACAATA